TGGGGATTGAATCCAAGGCCTCATGTATGCTTGACCACTGTGCTGTGCTCACTGTTTCATTTTATTTTTCAGATAGTTGTACATTCTCCTTGCACACCTCCAAGTCTGAATCCACAATAAGACTGACTCTTCACTGAGCCCTCTCCCTCTCTGGGTTAAAGATCACAGTTAGGCACCTTGGTCTAATCCAGCATAGTTCATCTGTCACACAGCCAGCAGAAAAGATTTTCATTTGGCAGAGAAAACCCAAAAAAGACATGAGGAAGAAGAAATGGATTTTGACACAAGAAACCTTCCAGAAAAAAAGGAGGGACAGATCAATACGAACCAATGATCATGTGTACATTTAAAAACAGCTAAAGATTGCTGTAACTGCATTTAGCTTTCTACTATTTCCTTCCTGCTCAGAAATTCCAAGCTCTAAGGAAACAAACACAGACCTGTCGATAGCAAATGAGATTTACTGAAAGAGAGAGCAGGCCAGGAAACAAGGCCACAGAAGATAGCTAGATTAACAAAGCCAAGACTTATCAGAGCATTCTTTCTTTGTTAAATTAAAGGAACCCTAGGTGTGTTCAGATGTTGGATGAGATAGACTGGACAAATATGTGAAAAACAGCCAAGTGAATGTTGGAAGGTTTGTGAATAACACAAATTAAGCTTTTTTGAAGTTTTGCTTATCTAGAAATCTAAAAGCTACCACTGATGCAATTTACAAATCTTGAGGGGGGAAAAATCAGGATGACTGTATCTGGAAAATCAATATTCTCCCTAACAGATTTTAAAGGGTGCATCCAGTTTCTTAAGCCAAAAATTTTTCTGTGTCTATACCAAAATACAATATAAAATGTGAAAAAAGTAATTTAAAAGAGGTAAAGATATAAAGCATTAAATCATCATACACAACAATAATAAGTAATAAATAATCCATTGACATGCACCAGGTAAATAAGAATTATTACGCTCTCTTAAAAGTATAATCCATCCAGGAAAGTGATTCACTTCATGCTTCAGCCTGAAGCCAGAATCATCTAAGTGTTATGATACAAATGCCTAAATCAGCCCACCTGAAATATTATTTTCTCAGTGGTGCAGCACCTGCCTCTCCAATGCAAGGTCCTGAGTTCTCAAAAAAGGAAGGAAGGAGGGAAGGAAGGAAGGAAGGAAGGAAGGAAGGAAGGAAGGAAGGAAGGAAGGAAAGAAGAAAGAAAGAAAGAAAGAGAGAGAGAAAGAAAAGTCAGTTTCTTCAGCCACATCTTTTATCTAAGATGTGACCATCTATAAGTCACCATCTGAGCTTACAGAAAGTGCCATGAAACACATCGGGCATCCCTAGGATCCCGGGCCCAACCTGTAGCCCCTCTGCACCACAGCTGACCCCAGTCTGCTGAGATGATTTGGGGAGCAGGCAAACCTGGCCTAGCGTCTTAGCTCTGCCACCCTCTGGTAACTGATACTTCTCTGAGTATCAGTTTTGCTAATTCTGATCTCTCACACCTATTAAATTTAAGAATACTTAGTTACACCCAGTGAACCCACTGTTTCCTCCCCAGCCCTCTTGGGGGAGCCCTTGCCATGAAGAGTGTGATGCTAGTGCTTGCGGCAAGCGTTTTGAATAACACAGTCCCTGCAAATACAAGTCAGGAATTCATCTAGTATCAGCCAATGACACCACTGGGTTCCAGTGCTAGAAGAAAAAGTAGACAAATTATATTTGTTGAGGAATATGCTGAGTGTCCAACGTGCCACCTCCCTAAAGCACAAGGTGTAGGTCACTCCATTATTCTTGCCTGGCACAATTACACTTTGAGCTAATAGAGACCTGTTCCCCTCCCCGGATTATGCCAGCATCTTCTGTCTTCCCTACCAGGTCCTGTCTAGGTCCTCATCTGCTGTGCCCCAGGACTATTGTGGATACACAGGGCCCTTTGGCTAGACCTTGTAGAGCAGTCTGAGTCTCTCAGCTTCGTATACCACATTCATCCCAGCCAGCGTTTCAGCCTCTGTCCCTGCACTCTGATATCCAGGAAGGTGAAAACCACTCTAAGAGAGAGAACAAAATATTGCTGCTATAGTTTGCTAGCTGCTCACAGAAGAAAAAATTACTTCATGATGAAAGCGAATTTTCCAAATGTGACCTGTCATGTACAATTAAAAGCAACTGTTTCTTCACTCATTCCAATGCTCCCGATCCCAGTTCATAAATAGGCTCGTGTTAAAATAGCCTCGCAAGTAATAGAATAAAATAAATTCAAGTTCTTTAAAAATTTTTTAACAACCTGTAGTTTTTTTTTCCCAGAAGACAACCAGTTACTGTGGAGAAAGAAAAATGAAAACAACTTACTATTATTCACTCAGCATGAGACACTGCAAGGAGCCGTCTATGAATTTGTAACATTTCCTCATTCTGAGCAAAAGAGGAAACCTGAATATTGACTATTTTTCCCTAAAAAAATGCATATATACAGCCCAGATCTTAAAAAAAAACAGTTAAGAAGTGTTTGTTCTGTAAAGGGATTGGCTCCTTTACAAAAGAATTAGCTTCAGCTTCTAAAAGGAATTAAGTTTAGCCCACGTGTATCAGGCATGATCCAAATTAACATCACTTTGTAGAAATATGTTAATACTGCAATCCGGCTATATATGCAGCCAAAAATAATACTTGAGCTCAATACAGAGCAGAAAGAGTGGAGTTCTGCATTTTGTGGGCTGTCCCCAGCAGCCTGAGCTCTCCCCGTATATTGAGGCACTCTTTACCTATATAGCAGTGGTCTGAAGTGTTGAACTTCTCCGAACAGGATCCCCTCTGCCTACCTGTACCCTCCATATGCTTGCAGTGAGGGTGTGGCATGTAGGTGACACAGACTCCAACAATCACTCATATCCAAGACTTGAGCTCTGGAGGGTAACACCCAGGTCTGGGGGTGAATTGAAAATATTTAGAGAGGCCAAACCTGTGAAGGTCAACTGGCTTCAGAGGCAATGGACCACAGCCCACATCCTCACTAGAAGCTTCCTGTGGCCTGGCCTTGACTAAGATTCAGGCTGCTGGCTTCTTGGGCTTCTATCCATTTTCTAAGCCTTGGTCTCCAGGTTTACTATTGTTTCTGAAAACTCTCCAGTGGTCTTCTGTCAAGTTGCTGTTTTCACTAAGTTAACCAATGTGACATTGGTAGTATCTGACCAAGAGTCCCAACTGACATGGGATGGTAAACAAATGAGGATTCTTCACCGATATGTACTCTTTGGAAAGAACCAGTCATTCTTCCCTATCTGGATAGGACTAACACAGAGAACCATCAGAATAGCACACACAACTATCAGAATATCACAGAAATGACAGAATGTGACTGGTGAGCTAGGTCCTAATACCATGGTGGTGGCTTTCTCCTTGCTTTCTCTTGGGTAGAAGACAGCTACCAGGTCACCGGGATAAGTCCTATGTGTGAATCCCCAAGGCAAGACATTATGCCTTGTGCCCAGAGTGGACATCAGCTTGACAGCCATGGAAGCAGAACTTCCAGCCCTAGCTAAGCCTTCAGGAGTGCTTGCTTCTGACAAAAGAAATGGGGGAAATTTTCCAGCCCTTTTCTCTAGAGCTCAGAAAACTGAAGATTGTGCTGAAGATTACTCTGGCATAGTTCTCATGAGAACTGGGTATGTGCATTTCCTAATATCTAAAGGGTCCTTCCAAATACTTCTCTTAAAATAGAGATGGTACTGGTGTCTAAGGTTTTCCTGCTTTACTTATTCATGACAATGGCTACTTTCCGGTAAGCTTGGCCACCGTGTTCAATGTTCCATAACTTATAGATTTTAGAATTGCACATTATCAAGAGCTTTCAGAAAGGATGAAAGCACCAAATATTGCGAGCCTGCTCCCATTTGTCTGTGTTGTACAACCCAAAGGACGTTGTTGAACATTTCCCAAGATGGTTATGATTATTTGCACCGATTTTTGTTTATTTCTTGGGTCATCAAATACTCCATTAGCACATTGAGGGACAGTGAACAAAGGGGAACATACCGACTGCACCTGGCAGTAAAATGTCCTCTGAAAGATTCCAGATCTGCTTCAACTTATGTTTTAAATCATCTTGCCCACATCACTCTGCCTTTCCAGATGAAAACAGCTATGTCCATGGTCCTAGAACTTGTCCTCCCATTACAGCACAAACTCAAAAAAACCATCTGACAGTTTGTTCTCACATGTTTCTTTAATTGCAGACACCTATTCTCCCAGAGACATCTCCTGCTTCACACCATGGCTAATTTTATTTTCATGCATCTTGACACAGTATTTAAGCCTCCACTCAAAAGCACCTTGTACTCGTCATGGATATTTTCCAGCTTAAGCTTTCCACAAGGACATCACTGTCTGGAGCCAGGCCACACACTACACTATTAGCACCATCATTGCTGGGGGCTCAGCTTTCACTGCCAAAAATCAAGCAGTGGAAAATGAATACAAGGGGCTGGGGCCCCATTCTGAATATTAACCCCAAATTCCAGATTCATCTGAGAATCTGACAAAGAAAGTCAAATGTAAATGTGTGTGGTTGGACCCTCCATGCAAAAAGTAAATAAATACATAAAAATAAAATAAAACAAAGCCGGAGTCTCCAACACTGAAGAGAGCAATGGGCAAAGCATTCCAACATCGGGCTTCTCCCAGATTCGTAGCATTTTGCTGTGTATACATTTGGTTCCTGGGGCCTGAGTCATGGTGTCCCTGCCAGGTACCCAGGTCTTTTTCACATGCTAAGGCCATTTGGATGAGTTTGGGCAAGAGCGGGGAGAAAACACTAGAGATCTTTTGGACTTGTTTTGCTATTACTCATTGCAAAGGAATGGCATGCTATCCACTGTGCCAGATCAAGTGCCCGCTCTCTGGGGCTCTGCTGGGGCAGGAGTGTGGGGAAGAGAAAGCTGCCAGAGGTGGGAGGAGACCACAGCTGCCCTTGGAGCTGCTGGAGCTGGGACTGGGATGGAGCACTCACTTGCCAACTTCAGTGTCCTCAGCAGAGGGTCTGCCACCAGTGAGCTCAGCTGCCTGAGGTTCTGGAACAAAAAGACAGCACTGAGAATGGGAAAAACAAGAGTGGACAGAGGTGGAAGAAAGGCAAGGGCACAGAGGGGAGATAGCTGAAGTGCAAATAGCCCCAGCAAAGCCCTCTGCTGTGTCCCTGCTATATGCCCTCCTTGACCTGAAGTTCTGTCACCTCTCCACGTGATGGCTAGGAGGAGCATGGCAGGAATACAGATCTACTGCAGACACACTGGGGCTCTTTAAAAGAAAACCAAGAGAAGTCTTATTGTGTGGTGCCGGTAGTTCTGAGGAGCACGGTTGGGGCAAATGCCCAACCAAAAGGCCTAAGCAGAAAATGGGCCACCAAAGAATTTATTCAGCTTCAATCACAGCTGCTGGGATGAAAGGCCTCTCAGTCCCCAGGTGGATGACATGGTGACCTCAAGGAGGCCCACCAAGTGTTCCAGGCCTCATCTCTCCACAGGGTCTCAGAACAGGGTCTTCCGTTAAGCCTGGGGCAGACAGGCCCCAGGGCAGACAGACCCCAGAGCTGAATTCTAGATGCAGGATCCCACAGCAAAGGATGTGAGGCACCTATGGGTTTTGTTTACTATTTGAATCCTAGTACAGAGAAGCTTTCATAATTCCTAAGTCTATGAGAGTCAGTGAAGGGGTGAATGGAAGTATAAATGCGATGTGTGGCTGATCCTGGGGCTTAGGAGCTGCTCTATCATCGCTGCTGCTTGGCATAGCATGCCACCATCAGCAACCTGTTCTTTTGTTGTACGACTTGTCTCTCCCAGTTGTCTTCTTTTAAAAAGCAACCTTGAAACAGGCCTCACTATGTCACTGACAACTTGTCATGGACTGGGCTATTCAACAGCGTTCCTTTTGCAATTCCTTTAGCAGATTGAGAGGCACAGTGGAGACTCAGGGATTGACAAGGATAAGTCTCCCTCAGTTCAGACACTCATGACTGGGGCCCTCCCATGTCAGTCTCAGAGCCATAAGAGCCACAGACTACCCAGCACAGTACACCAGACACAACATCAACTCCTCTGTGCATCTGCATAGTCCATCACTGACCCATCCTTCAGCCCGCCCTTTTGCCCTCCTTTATGGAACAAAGTCTTGACCTCATTCTCAGGCCCCTGCAAAAGCCATCAGAGTTCTCCACCCTGCCACATATTGGATTTCCCTAGGCAGCTTTGCACAAAATGCCCCTTGCTGGCCTAAATGCAAAATTCAGAGCTAACTGTAAAAACAAGCCCCAAGAAGGGGTGTTCTTGAGCCCCCCTAGTAGCTCAGACGTACATCCTCAAGAGCTCCTGGCCCTGGCTCTGTGCCTTTATCCCAGCCCCTAGCAGACCTCTCTCAACAGAACTCTCCATGGAGCCCACACTCTGCCAGCAGGTGTGATAACATTACGCAGTGGACTGGGGCCCCCCAGAGAGAAGAGGGTTTGCTCTGCTCTCAGATTTAAGGACTCCACAGTAGATATCTTCCAGTGGCACATGCATGGTTATAAAAAGTCAAATATGGCTTCTGTCCTGCCACCATGTCTCCCCACCTACTAACCATGATTGACCAAAGGGGGACGCAGGACCATATGGATAGTCACATGCCACCATCTCTCTGTAACCTGTTCCTGGCCAAGAGGAAGGGGGATGCAGAAGACTGCATCTTCAGTAGAAATTCAGCAGAGGCTAAGAAAAGCTACTCCTAAGGTCAACCAGGGCCTGCTCCTTCCCAACCAAGCTAATAGCTTCCCAGCCCTAATTGATGTCTCCTATCAAGATGCTACAGCTTGATCTAAAACGTCCCTCAAAAGGCTCATGTTCTTGGAGACAGGGCTTTTGGAAGGGGACTAAAACTAAAACTAAAACTCATCAGTGGATGAAACCATTGGTGAGTTCATAACTGAATGTGCTGGTAGAAGGTGAGACCTAGTTGGAAGAGCGGTCACTGGAGGCACAACCTGGAAGGGTTATATTTCTGTCTCCAGTCCTCTCTTCTCACTCAGGTTCTTCTTCACCCTCTCTGCTTCCTGGCTGCCATGAGGTGAGCAGCTTTCCTCTCTGCCTGGCCTTTCTATGATGGCATGTCTACCTTAGCTAGAGATTACCATGACCTGAGTCTGCCTCTACAACCCTGAGTTAAAATAAACGTTTTCCCCTTCAAGTTGTGTGTGTCAGGTATTTTGTCTCAACAACAAAAGGCTGACTAATACACAGGGTTACCAGCTACCAATCATTTCCCATGTCCAGCATACTTTCTCACCATCAGTTAAGTCCACTACGCTCAAGCAGTCAAGTGACTCGCACCCAACATCATGCTAGCTGGGAGCTCAGAGCAGCCACCTGGTGTGGCCACATCCTCTGCCTGGCTAAAAGTCACCAAGACACGCTGAGCCTGCCTGCTCCAAGTGCTGAAATACCAAGCTCTGAAGGAAAACACACTGTCTTTAAGATATATACCAATTACTACTGCACTGAAAATAAAAGAGAAAAGAAAGCAAACACAAAGGTGACTATGTAAAACAACCAGGATTGGTGTCACTGATTCATTCCTACCACAACCCATGCATTCAGGATCTACATTTCAATACAAATAATAAATCATTTGTTTAACTATCATGGCGTGCATAAGGCATATCCATATCACTACTTTCTACAATTCCTCCTGTAAGCAATTCGCCAGACAGAAAATACACCCAAAGGCATAGGCTGAGCATTGCTTAGGCTGAGCAGACAAAAAAATATGGGTGCAGAGCAGCCACCGCTTCTCACCTTCAGGTCCCGCTCAACATTGGAATGTACTTCTAGCTAAGCAGACAGATAACCTGGGCTTGCCTCTGCTGGACGCAGATGAGAAATCTCGTTTCCTGAGGCCCAACCACATAAACGTTGCTTCAAACTCCAGAAGGAATGATGAGGGATCTATCCACAGGGGGCAACCCTGAACAAGGAAACGATTCTCAACCCCTCCACTTGTGGAGCTCTGAGCGGAGGTGAGGGTGGGTGGAGAGTGTTGGGTAAGTTTCATTTTCTGCATGTGTGGTTTGCAACAGCTTCAATTCCAAAGAAAGAGATCAAATTGGCAAATTTCTCAAACACATTATATCTAGGGCTAAAGGTAGAATTTGACCTCAGTTGTGGGTAAAAACTTGTACAGAACGTGTTTCTCATTAGGTTAAAATGTAAGAAGAATGTTGTTCAGAAAAATAACTGGAAATTCATCAAAGTGTGTGTGTGGTAATGTTTTTTAGAGTTGGTTCTTCTGTGTTGAATGAATTTTATTTCCTGAGCACATGCACTGAGACAACTCAGTGTGTCATACCTAGGAATTGCTGTGCACGGACTGATGGGTACGTGGGTAAGGCCCAAGCGTAAAATGAAGACAAAAAATGAATTTTCAGTACAATTGAAGTTATTGCTATTGTTTCTAGCTACTGACTTTTCAGGGCATCTTATAGTTAGAGGAGCCCTCAGTTATCTTCCCTCTACCCTGAAGGGCAGGAATTCTTGCATTTCCAAGGTGGATCTGTTCTTTGCCTTTTCCAAAAAATGGCTCTTTCATGCTCCTCGAGAATCCACATCCACACTCCAGAAGGGCCAAGAGCTCTTCCTCTTGGGCTGTCCCTGCACTCTTAGTGCAATCCTGTGTCTTTCCTCAGCTCCTGATTACAGCAGGAGAGCTGCCTGGACTATAATACCAAGGGCTGCCACGCTCTCCTGGGCTTGCTTTCCTAGCACCCGTTCTTACGGCCTTTCTCCAAGGTATGCTGCCACCCCTTTCACAGCTGCCACACAGATTTCCTCCACTGGAAGAGGACAATTAAAATATGGGCTCCCAATAAGACTGAGGATCTTCAACAAGAGGCATGGCTGCCAAAGAGAGTGCAGAGTGACCTCCAGTTTGTCCCATCACAGGCCAAAGGTCACAATGTGCAGTGTGCAGCTTCATGAGCCCGGTCCCAGCAGCTTTGTTCTCATGAGCCTATATCTCTGATGCAATAGTTATCACTGAATGGCCTATTCCATGTTATGTTACTAGGAACATTGTCTAATTCCCAAGAACATATATTGTAACTGTTTTTAATAATGATTTTTAAAAGATATACAGTGAAGCAAGGTGAAGCTCAGACATAGTACTAGTTTCATGCCCAAACACTCTTCACTCCATAGAAAGACTTTCTCCCCAAGGAAAATCAGCTGCCTGCACTGTACAAGGTCCCTTAGCCTCCCCTTCAGGCACTTCACACTCAGCCCTCAACCTGAGTTCATCACCATCCCTTAAGAGACGCACCTGGTCACATCAGCTGACACCCGCGGACTCAGGGCTTAGCCTCTCACATGGATGATGGCACTGCCTACAAACCCATCCTGCCTCCTTAGTGTCCCCCACCCACCTCCACTCTGGATCACACCACCAGCAGGAGTCCTTTCTTACCCTTCCAGCTGGGCTCTGTAGGGATGGTCCAGGTGGCTGACACACCTGGAATTCATGGGCCTTATTACCGGGAGAGGCAGCCAGGAAGGACCTATAAAAAACTGTGCATACATTTTTCTACTAAAGGATCCCACAGTGGGTCATGATCTTAAGCAGGTTAGGAAGTCGGGTCCCTGCCACACAGCCCAAGGCTCAGACAGCACACCAGTTTTTGTAGAATCTCAAAGTTTTCCCACCTCTCTCATCTCATTCTTTCTATCCCCAGGCTCCAGCTCTGCTCAGACACCTGCTGTTCCCCAGAAAAGACACACTGCTCCTCACTGCTGGGAAAGCACATGGAGGTCCCTCTGTCAGGAAGAATTCTGGCCCTGTTGGTGGCCAAGAAAACATTTTAAACCAAGCCTGCTTTATTTTGTGAAGCCCTTCCATGCCCCGGTCCATAGGCTCATCCCGCAGGCTCTGTCTCCCTCCACATCCAGCGTTGTATTTATCACTCCCTGCCAGTGACAGGTTCTGCCCTGGTGGACATGGAACATCTATCTCTACAACAGGCATCGCGCTTTCTTTTTGCTAAATGATCTCAGAGACTCAAA